TTTGTGCATCTGGATTGCAGCAGTTACCATGGATAGTCAGCGGGGCTAAGAGCTGGGTGATTTGGCAAAAAAAAAAAAACAAAACAAATACATTTCTGAAGAGATATTTCACATTGTACAATTTTGTATTTATTACTTATTTTAAATATTGTTTTTAAAATGCCAGTATCTGTACTGAAAAGTGAAAAACCGAGAGTAATTCAACTTTAGTCACATCAAGTATTGTAAATAAAAAAACTTTAAAAACATGAACAGAAAAAAAAACAATTACTCAGCATTACAGCAAATATCAAATGTCCCAAACAACATTTGCTGTGTGAACAGAGGCTTTAAAGGAGAGCCTCGCATTGTAAATTTAAATAAGAGTCACACCGTGTGACTCTTATTTAAATTAAATTTACCTGTTGTCAGGCACATTTCCGCCATGTTTAATTGAGGAAATACGCTCACATGTAATCACTGCGACTGACCTGAAATTCATTGCGATTGCTCATCAAAAATTCGTTCCAGCTCCAGCAGGACCTCTACAATGGTTGAACAAGTGGGATTTGGACCAAGTATTTAGGGAAAAATATAGCTATGGGAAAATGAAGATTCAAATTTGCTTCATGAACCAATTGTTGTTTTTTTAATCCTCTGGATAGCACTGTTGATTTAAAGAAAGGTGTTTAAGAAATGGTAAATCAGTTTGCTCTCAGCCCTATGATGAACAGAGTGCCATCTAAAGGACTCAATAAACACAACAGCTGGTTCATGAAGCATCCTGAAGTCTCATTTGGCGATCACTAAAATGATATGCTTTTAAAGGAGACTTACGCTAATGTCCTGGCAGTAAAGACTATTTTTATGTGTTCAGCCTTGGCGGACGTCTATGCACTACTGACTGATTTTGTTTGCCTCTTTTTAGCCCAAGTGTGATGTTATTTTTGCTGACTTTCTGTATTCTTATATGTCCTGCAACAGCTTGGCCCTCCTGTGGTACCACACAGTAGTGCAGCCCTTCTTCGCCCTGGATGACAGCGACACCCACTCGGGCCTGGCGGAGGCCAAAGCCATTCTTCGACAGAGAGAGACCACTTACCCCAACTCGTCGCTCTTCATGTTCTTTAAAGGCAGAGTCCAACGTCTTGAGGTGAGCCCCTGTCTGTAGCCCAACACACAAGCACCCTCACGCGCAACATTGTGTCACAAACGCTTCACGGGACTTGTCGTTTGTGCGCAGAGCCAGATGAGCGCCGCCTTGACGTCCTTCAACAGCGCTTTACAGCTGGCCTCGGAGCAGAGGGAGATCCAGCATGTGTGTTTGTATGAAATTGGTAAGGTTTTGTCACGGTCGATAAACTTCATTCTTACATGTACACACGTGAACAAAATACTGGATACCCCTCTGTTAATGAAAGAAAAGCCCAGAGTGGTCACAGAAATAACTTGAATCTGACAGACGTAATAATAAATGAAAATGACGCTCTTGGTTTCCTAATTCTAGAACACTGGTTCTTAACCTGGGTTCAATCGAACCCTAGGGGTTCGGTGAATCAGTCTGAGGGGTTCGACGGAGCCTCTGCCATGGAAGTTCAGACATACCCGACTCAAGATGTCAATTAGTTTTGACACGCCCGCTTAGCCATCGCTGGCTGCAGATGATCACATTAATGATCCAATCAGTGCTGCGGTAAATTTAGTTCGCTCAGTAGTCACCATGTGATACAATTTTAAAAAAGCTACACTTATGCCATGTAATTTTGTTTTTTTTTTTGTTTTTTTTTTGGCTGTCCCGTGTGGTTGGCTACACGGGACTGTAGCCAACCACCCTAGTAGTTAGTAGAAGTTGCAGTCAGTGCATTTGGCTTTTCATCCTTCTGTTGTATGTTTTCTAGGGTGGTGCAACATGATCGAGCTGAACTACTCGGAGGCGTTCAAGGCCTTTGAGCGTCTGAAGAACGAGTCTCGCTGGTCGCAGTGCTACTATGCATATTTGACTGCAGGTACCAACCCTGCTTGTGTCCCACATTGTTTGAATAGGGTCCGAGTAATTTTTTTTTTTTTTTCAGTTTGTCAAGGAGCCATGGGTGACCTGCAGGGGGCCTCGGGAGTTTTCAATGATGTCCAAAAATTGTTTAAACGCAAGAACAATCAAATAGAGCTGTTCTCCATGAAGAAAGTGAGTGGACTTAATGCACTGTATCGACCAATGTTTTTTTTATATATGGCAGCGTAAAATTCTGATGACTGATTAATCGGCCGATGAATTTTGTGCCAGGCTGAGAAGCTGAGGATGCCCAGTCTGTCCAAAGAACTGTGCATCCTCTCCATCATTGAGATTCTTTATCTGTGGAAAGCTCTCTGCAACTGCTCCACCAGCAAATTGCACACAATGATGCAAGGTACCACGCTAACCTTTGATAGTCATCTGCAGTTTGTTGTTTAAAAAAAAAAAAAAATGTATTTCTGTAGTCCTGCAGGCTATTGACGACGCCTCCTGCGCAGGGCTGAAAAACCTGCTCTTGGGAACTGTAAACAAATGCCTGCATAACAAGAAAGATGCTATTCAGGTATTCACATCACTGTTGATGATTATCATAATACAATCCAAATACAAAGCTCATTTTGGAACTTTATGTTTGCAGTATTTCCAGGTGGCCTTGCGCGATGAGATGGGCCTGCTGAGCAACTCGTACGTGCAGCCTTACGCCTGCTACGAACTGGGCTGCATGCTCCTCAACGACACCGAGGTAGGTAGAAAACTGTTGACTGATAAACTGTGAGAACATTTTAATGATTAGTTTTACCTTTTTTTTTTTTCTTTGCAAACATCCCTGATTTCTAGCCTTCAGTAGCGGACAGAGTCCCCCTCCCTATGCTTCACTCTTGAAGCCTCTTGCATCAGGATCAAGTTCTTGAGTTGAGACTGTCAGTATGTACAAGAGTTAGAGCCTCGTACATACTGACAAGTCAAATCAAACCAGCGTGAAATAATGTTTATGTAATAGTGTAAAATTGCACAAAAAAAAATTGTTGGTTCCAGTCGTCAAATGGAAAAATATTTCTTTAAATGCAAGGTAGCTTTATTTATATACAGCGCATTTCAAAGAGACTCAATATGCTTTACAAAATTATATGTGCATTTAAAAGTATTTACAAATAAAACTAAAGACAAGTAAAAACTAAGAAATAAAATGTATGATGAATTTTCCTTTATATTTTCAAACATTGCAGTTGTGGACACATCTATTTGTGACTCAGCATTGTCTGTGTTTAAAATTGATTTGATAACCCTTCTAAAAAAAAAACTCAATTTAACAGTCCCACCACAATTGAATATTTACTTTTGTCTTATGCATGGTTAATATTTGTAGTATTCAAAATGAATAATTAATGTATGGGGGATTTTACATTATTTATTTATTTTGAGCAATACATCAATTTTCAACACCGCCAATCCTGAAGAGGGTCGCGGGAGTTGCTGTTGGCTGTTCCAGCTGACTTTGGGCGAAAGGCAGACTACACCCTGAAATGGTCGCCAGTCAGTCCCAGGGCACATACAAAGCCAAAAGACCATTCACACCCGCATTCAATAAGTGGGAACCGATCCCACGCTGCCCGCACACAAGCCAGGCGTGTGTACCACTATACTATCAGCGACGTTACCGCTAATCGTGATTGTAATACCCTCTGTGGTACTCCAAATTTATTTTATGTGAACCCATCATGTCAGTGCCTCGCGTTGGATTATATTCTAAGGTGACTTTTTTTTCTTTTCCCTCCATAGTCTGCAGCCAAAGGCCACGCGTTGATGCTTCAGGCGAAGGTATAACGATGTGTCGTAGCTACCAGGGGATTGTCCCGCATGCTGTTGGTTCTGACGCACATTTTGTCTTTTGCAGGAGGACTATGCAGGCTATGATTTTGAGAACAGGCTTCACGTACGGATCCATTCGGCTCTCGCCTTCATGCGAGCTGCGGCTCAACCTTGAAGCGTGTTGCCTTTAGCAGGGAAAAAAAAAGCCAAACAATAAGACCGTTTTAGGCCCAAGTGTTTGAAGTATTTGTTTTTGTGGCGTAATTTTGAACCTTATTCTGTGGTTTGCATGGAAAAGGTTTACTGATCTTTGCAATACACTGCACATTTTTCCCCCATGTGGAAATGTTTTGCACGTCTTTGAGAATTTTTTACAGTTCACATGCACAACTGTACTCTTTGCTGTGAACAAGATCCTCTTAGATAGTGTTTTAAGATATTAAAATTATTTTTATTGGACACTTTAATGAGTTGTGATCTTTTGGTTTCCGATGCAGTGTTTGTTCAGGGCGGAAAATTAGACCAGAAAGACCAAATAACTCAAGAGTGTTCATGACCTACCTGGTAGTCGAATGGTTAGTGTATCAGCGTTGCAGGGTTCGAATCTGGCTCCGGCCTTCCTGTCTGTTCTCAAAAATGTGTGTGGCTGTGCATTTTCTGATCCTTTCCTCCGCACAACTACTCGTGCTCACACTCGCCAAGGAACAATTCACAAAACGCCTGACTCTACATGGTCGTTTTTTTCGGACAAAAACGCCTTACGATACATGGTTGTTTTTTTCGGCCAAAAACGCCTTCGTATACATGGTCGTTTTTTTTCGGCTAAAACGCCTTGCTATACATGGTCGTTTTTTTCAGCCCAAAACGCCTTACGATACATGGTGGGTTTTTTTTCGGCTAAAAATGCCTTGCGATACATGGTCGTTTTTTTCGACCCAAAATGGCTGACGATACATGGTTGTTTTTTCGATCCAAAACGCCGAACTATACATGCTCGTTTTTTTCGGCCCAAAACAGCTTACGATACATCGTCATTTTTTTCGGCCCAAAACGACTTCCTAAACATGGTCGTTTTTTTCGGCCCAGAACTCCTTTGCGTACATGGTCGTTTTTTTCGGCCCAAAACGGCTGACGATACATGGTCGTTTTTTTCGGCTAAAAACACCTTACTATACATGGTCGTTTTTTTCAAAAATGTATTTCTGTAGTCCTGCAGGCTATTGACGACGCCTCCTGCGCAGGGCTGAAAAACCTGCTCTTGGGAACTGTAAACAAATGCCTGCATAACAAGAAAGATGCTATTCAGGTATTCACATCACTGTTGATGATTATCATAATACAATCCAAATACAAAGCTCATTTTGGAACTTTATGTTTGCAGTATTTCCAGGTGGCCTTGCGCGATGAGATGGGCCTGCTGAGCAACTCGTACGTGCAGCCTTACGCCTGCTACGAACTGGGCTGCATGCTCCTCAACGACACCGAGGTAGGTAGAAAACTGTTGACTGATAAACTGTGAGAACATTTTAATGATTAGTTTTACCTTTTTTTTTTTTCTTTGCAAACATCCCTGATTTCAAGCCTTCAGTAGCGGACAGAGTCCCCCTCCCTATGCTTCACTCTTGAAGCCTCTTGCATCAGGATCAAGTTCTTGAGTTGAGACTGTCAGTATGTACAAGAGTTAGAGCCTCGTACATACTGACAAGTCAAATCAAACCAGCGTGAAATAATGTTTATGTAATAGTGTAAAATTGCACAAAAAAAAATTGTTGGTTCCAGTCGTCAAATGGAAAAATATTTCTTTAAATGCAAGGTAGCTTTATTTATATACAGCGCATTTCAAAGAGACTCAATATGCTTTACAAAATTATATGTGCATTTAAAAGTATTTACAAATAAAACTAAAGACAAGTAAAAACTAAGAAATAAAATGTATGATGAATTTTCCTTTATATTTTCAAACATTGCAGTTGTGGACACATCTATTTGTGACTCAGCATTGTCTGTGTTTAAAATTGATTTGATAACCCTTCTAAAAAAAAAACTCAATTTAACAGTCCCACCACAATTGAATATTTACTTTTGTCTTATGCATGGTTAATATTTGTAGTATTCAAAATGAATAATTAATGTATGGGGGATTTTACATTATTTATTTATTTTGAGCAATACATCAATTTTCAACACCGCCAATCCTGAAGAGGGTCGCGGGAGTTGCTGTTGGCTGTTCCAGCTGACTTTGGGCGAAAGGCAGACTACACCCTGAAATGGTCGCCAGTCAGTCCCAGGGCACATACAAAGCCAAAAGACCATTCACACCCGCATTCAATAAGTGGGAACCGATCCCACGCTGCCCGCACACAAGCCAGGCGTGTGTACCACTATACTATCAGCGACGTTACCGCTAATCGTGATTGTAATACCCTCTGTGGTACTCCAAATCTATTTTATGTGAACCCATCATGTCAGTGCCTCGCGTTGGATTATATTCTAAGGTGACTTTTTTTTCTTTTCCCTCCATAGTCTGCAGCCAAAGGCCACGCGTTGATGCTTCAGGCGAAGGTATAACGATGTGTCGTAGCTACCAGGGGATTGTCCCGCATGCTGTTGGTTCTGACGCACATTTTGTCTTTTGCAGGAGGACTATGCAGGCTATGATTTTGAGAACAGGCTTCACGTACGGATCCATTCGGCTCTCGCCTTCATGCGAGCTGCGGCTCAACCTTGAAGCGTGTTGCCTTTAGCAGGGAAAAAAAAAGCCAAACAATAAGACCGTTTTAGGCCCAAGTGTTTGAAGTATTTGTTTTTGTGGCGTAATTTTGAACCTTATTCTGTGGTTTGCATGGAAAAGGTTTACTGATCTTTGCAATACACTGCACATTTTTCCCCCATGTGGAAATGTTTTGCACGTCTTTGAGAATTTTTTACAGTTCACATGCACAACTGTACTCTTTGCTGTGAACAAGATCCTCTTAGATAGTGTTTTAAGATATTAAAATTATTTTTATTGGACACTTTAATGAGTTGTGATCTTTTGGTTTCCGATGCAGTGTTTGTTCAGGGCGGAAAATTAGACCAGAAAGACCAAATAACTCAAGAGTGTTCATGACCTACCTGGTAGTCGAATGGTTAGTGTATCAGCGTTGCAGGGTTCGAATCTGGCTCCGGCCTTCCTGTCTGTTCTCAAAAATGTGTGTGGCTGTGCATTTTCTGATCCTTTCCTCCGCACAACTACTCGTGCTCACACTCGCCAAGGAACAATTCACAAAACGCCTGACTCTACATGGTCGTTTTTTTCGGACAAAAACGCCTTACGATACATGGTTGTTTTTTTCGGCCAAAAACGCCTTCGTATACATGGTCGTTTTTTTCGGCTAAAAACACCTTACTATACATGGTCGTTTTTTTCGGCTAAAAACACCTTACTATACATGGTCGTTTTTTTCGGCTAAAAACACCTTACTATACATGGTCGTTTTTTTCGGCTAAAAACACCTTACTATACATGGTCGTTTTTTTCGGCTAAAAACACCTTACTATACATGGTCGTTTTTTTCGGCTAAAAACACCTTACTATACATGGTCGTTTTTTTCGGCTAAAAACACCTTACTATACATGGTCGTTTTTTTCGGCTAAAAACACCTTACTATACATGGTCGTTTTTTTCGGCTAAAAACACCTTACTATACATGGTCGTTTTTTTCGGCTAAAAACACCTTACTATACATGGTCGTTTTTTTCGGCTAAAAACACCTTACTATACATGGTCGTTTTTTTCGGCTAAAAACACCTTACTATACATGGTCGTTTTTTTCGGCTAAAACGCCTTGCTATACATGGTCGTTTTTTTCAGCCCAAAACGCCTTACGATACATGGTGGGTTTTTTTTCGGCTAAAAATGCCTTGCGATACATGGTCGTTTTTTTCGACCCAAAATGGCTGACGATACATGGTTGTTTTTTCGATCCAAAACGCCGAACTATACATGCTCGTTTTTTTCGGCCCAAAACAGCTTACGATACATCGTCATTTTTTTCGGCCCAAAACGACTTCCTAAACATGGTCGTTTTTTTCGGCCCAGAACTCCTTTGCGTACATGGTCGTTTTTTTCGGCCCAAAACGGCTGACGATACATGGTCGTTTTTTTCGGCTAAAAACACTTTACTATACATGGTCGTTTTTTTCGGCCAAAAACGCCTTCGTATACATGGTCGTTTTTTTCGGCTAAAAACACCTTACTATACATGGTCGTTTTTTTCGGCCCAAAACGGCTTACGATACATAATTTTTTTCGGCCCAAAACGGCTTACGATACAATGTTATTTTTTTCGGCCCAAAATGCCTTACTATCCATGGTCGTTTTTATTTTTGGCCCAAAACACCTTACTATACATGGTCGTTATTTTTGGCCCAAAATGCCTTACTATATATACATGGTGGGTTTTTAGGCTAAAAACGCCTTGTGATACATGGTTGGTTTTTTTCGGCCCAAAATCCCTTACTATACATGGTCGTTTTTTTCGTTCCAAAACGCCTTGCTATACATGGTGGGTTTTTTCGCTAAAAACGCCTTGCTATACATGGTCGTTTTTTTCGACCCAAAACGCCTTACTATACATGGTTGTTTTTTTTGGCCCAAAACGCCTTACTCGACATGGTCGTTTTTTTCGGCTAAAAACGCCTGACTATACATGGTTGTTTTTTTCGGCCCAAAACACCTTACTGTGCATGGTCGTTTTTGCGTGTTTTTTTCAGCCCAAAACGCCTTACTATACATGGTCGTTTTTTTTCCGTCTAAAAACGCCTTACTATAAATGGTCGTTTTTTTCGGCTAAAAACGCCTTACTGTACATGGTCGTTTTCTTCGGCTAAAAACGCCTGACAATACATGGTCGTTTTTTTCGGCCCAAAACGGCTTCCTATATATGGTGGGTTTTTTCGGCTAAAAACGCCTTGCGATACATACTGTAGTTGTTTTTTTTCGGCCCAAAACGCCTTCCTATACATGGTCGTTTTTTTCGGCCCAAAACGCCTTTGCATACTTGGTCGTTTTTTTCGGCTAAAAACGCCTTACTATACATGGTCGTTTGGGGCCTTTTTTTCAGCCCAAAACGCCTTACTCTACATGGTCGATTTTTCCGGCCAAAAACGCCTGACATACATGGTGTTTTTTTTCGCCCCAAAACGCCTTCCTATACATGGTCTTTTTTTTCGGACAAAAACGCCTGAGTATACCTGGTCGTTTTTTGTGGCTCAAAATGCCTTACTATACATGGCGGGTTTTTTGTCTAAAAACGCCTTGCAATACATGGTTGTTTTTTTCGGCCCAAAATGCCTTACTTTACATGATCGTTTTTTTCGGCCCAAAACGCCTTTGCATACATGTTCGTTTTTTTTGGCTAAAAATGCCTTACTTTACATGGTCGTTTTTTTTCGTCTAAAAACGCCTTACTATCCTGTACATGGTCGTTTTTTTTTTCGGCTAAAAACGCCTTGCTATACATGGTCGTTATTTTCGGCTAAAAACGCCTTACTATTCATGGTCTTTTTTTTTTTTTTTTGCCCACACCATAAAAACAAAGTACCTTTATAATGAATAGCATCAAAATTATATATTTATAACATTAGTTGTCATGGCAACCAATATGTCGCTCTTTCTCGATTTGATTCTCACTGGTATAATTGACAGCACGCAATCACTTTCACCGGCCCCGGTGAGGCAAGCTGCCTCTCGTTCTACTGTAGCTTGAGGGCTTGAATGTTCTTGAGCATCATTTTCCTGGGAGGCCAAATCTTCTTCTTTAACTTTGTGTAGAATGTCTGGGTGTTTTAAAGCACATTCCTTACACTCTGTTCTTTTCTTGCAAAACTTACTAATATGACCCATAGCCAAGCATCCGAAGCACAAGCCTTT